AGCAGTCATGGGGCAGAGGAGGTGGGGGCAGGGGGAAGCAGTCATGGGGCAGAGGAGGTGGGGGCAGGGGGAAGCAGTCATTCCCACATAATTTCAGCGGATACTTCCAGGTTCTAGTCCTGTGGAGGGCTTTACTATCAGGCCTCCTTTTAATATCTAGGGAGAACCATGGTACAATGGAATATAGGCAGAGACTTAGCAGTAGACCACCATGGTACTGTAACCTCAAAGTTTAGAAGTAAAATAAGGATAAATCTTTCAGATTAGTCTATTGCTATTGAATATGACAAAATAAAAAATAAAACACAGTGACAAGGACACCAATACGAACCAAAGCTTTTTGCTGCCAGCTCTTCTATAGACTCTCTCAATGTGATCAGATATGGTACCTAGACATTGGATAATAAAGTCTTTGTTGAAGTAAGTTTTTAATTAAATGTATAACATTTATGATCCTTAAAAAACAAAAAAAACAACGGTGTCAATTTTCCATTTAGAATTGATACACTCATCCATTAGTGTTCTGCACTACCTGACATACTTAACGATACAGCCCAAGCATGTCGCATGATTTGCCAGCCCTTAGGGCTATTTACTTTGAATATATGACCTTGGTGAGTACTGTTACTTCTTGAAATGTATTATCTAATTAAAAATAAGTTAGTTATTTTAATTTACTGTAGAAAGTAAAACAACATAGCACATGAACACATACCGTGTACTCTGCGTATTCACTTATTTGTTCATCAAAGCTTTACTGAGACTGAAGCATGTGATCATTCCAACAAATACTACTGCTTCAAAGTCACCACTGGGCTACAGTCTTCAGTCCCAGTTTACCTGCAGTCATGCCACATGACTGGCTTGTCCATAAACTAACCATGGGACTGGACAGAGCAACCAAAAGCAAACAAGGGAAAAGAACAAGATTTTTATAGTTTCACCTTTACTTTATAACAAACTGGATGAAATTATTTTCAGATTCTGTAGGTACTTATGATTTATAATGTGTCATAAGGTTTTACAGATATAGTCTTTTTCAAGCATCTAAGTAGAAGATGTGTATTACTCCCAAATTTATAAAAGTTGTTTAAAATAACTGCTTCATTATTTTCATTAGAGAGTATTTTATATACATTTTATTTGAAAGAACTACTAAAATAACCATTCTGAATTCTAGGCTCTTAATAAAAGGTCTATTTTATTAAAAAATACCATTGTTTTGAGGTATAAAATTCAATAAATACCCTCAATATAATTAGGATTCTGCTTGTACTTACACTTTCAAGACTATTAGATGATGATGGATTCTAATTGAAATTTACCTAAAGTTCTGCTTTTGAACCAGCTAAGAAAATTAGGACTACTCAACTTATCTGTTTAATACTCAAGAAGGTAGGCTGTCAGCTACAATAATGCAAAAAGTAGATCTCAATTGAATAAACAATGAAGTATCGTTCATAGCAAAGCTACAAGTCTTATTAATTACACTGCTGTTTACTGACTCAATTTCTATTCCTAAGTAATCATCATATCCCCTAGACAGAGGATTTTCAGATGAGCCAAAAACTTTGAGTAGCAAGATATCAGGTACTTGAAATGTATTCTGCATTATTCTATACTATGAAACACCAGAAGCAGACCTTGATGTAAAATTCAAAGTTTCCTCATCGCAGTAACTCAAGTTAAAAGTGTGGACTTCAGGAAAAATTGGCTTTCATCCTTAAAGCAAAACGGACATGGACATGATTTGAAATGACTTAATGTTTGTCGGCTTTCTTTACAGCAGTTTTATTAAGTGCCATCTTTCATTCCAAATGGCTGCTGCAGGTCATGATAGAGCTAATCTTTATAGGTATAATGATTCAATATTGTTCTTGAAAATTTCTAGAAAGTAAAACTGGAAACAGGAACTGTTAGTAAACAACTATGGAGTCATCAGAGGTTAACAGTCATAGGGAGAATCCAGGCTCCAATACCATTTAGACAATAAGAGAAACAATTAAGTATCACTGCATGAGAGCAATTTAGCAGTTCATACATCAGTCTATTCCACTCTAGGGGGTGCGAACAAACATCTTCCACTTAAAAGTAAGAAAAAAAAAGGTTTAATTGAGGAGAAAATAACTTATAACATCTTAGTGGATATTCATTATGCATATTTGATATATGTTCAAGCATAAAGTGGTCTTATTTAAAATCTTTTCTTAGACTTACATGCTTACCTTCCTTTGTGATGAAGTTGGGGCCTTCTCTTTTGAGCAGTATACCCAGCAAGATGGCTTGGCTAGCCAGACAACTGCAGTCCTGAAATACAAATTGTTACAAGTAACTGGAATAAACTATGGCAAGGTTACCTCAGGGGGTAGGTATTCATGAAACCACAGGATGGAAGGAGAAAATATTCTGCTATGGAACTGAGGAAAGGCAAAACATTACTGATATACTACCAAGCATAAGATGACATTATATGACTGGATTGAAAAAACTGGAGACTTATATGTTAGATAGGTTGACTTCCTGGGGTAGTAGGATTTAATCAAAATTTCAAGGAACAAAATAAATAATGGATAGGAACTATATTATCTTACAAACATTTATACTTAAGTGTTATTCTTTGTTAGATTTGGCCAAGTCATTTAACCACTGTCTTCCTGACATAATATTCTTAAGTGGGAGACCATATTGCTATCAACCTACTATAAAGAAAAGATGGATGTAAGGAGGGAGAGAGAGAGGGAGTAGGATAGGGAAAGAGAGAAACAGATAAAGATTTACAGACATATATTTATAGATTTATAGACATATAGAATGTGTTACATATGTCTATATATTAGGGCACAATGCTGTGTGGTTTACGCCTACTATATCAAATGCTTGTATAGATCTATGGATGCCGATCAATTATAAGGACTAATGATGTCTGTCAGGTTATGCTCACGTTTGTATGATCCAGTGATATATCACACTGCTTATAGTTCCACCATAAGAATTTTCCTGGACAAGTACTACACTCTACCCTCACTTACTTCCATAAAAATACAAGTAATCTTTGGGAACATAAAACCATAGATTGCTAACATAACATTAATATGCATGTGATCATGTGATTGGTTCTTCAGTGACTGGAAGACTAAAGCAAGCATTAGACCAAAAATAGGAGGCAGAAGAGAAGTTTGTTTGGGGAAAAGAGATCGTGACAGAGGATCCAGACATCCTAAGGGCAATTGTCTTGATTTATTTCATGGCCCATACAATACCTTTATATTCATGACAACTCAACTTATCCCCTCTTGAGTAATCTTTTTCAGGTTTCCCTGATGATGTCAGGCCACGAGAACAACCTGTTAGGTCCATACCACATAGACAGGCTGCTCTTTCCAGGTTACTTGCTACTTTTTCTGAGAGGACAAAACAAAACTTGCCCCTTAGAGGCTCTGCTCTGCCAACCTCACTCACGGACTATGGAAATTTTCCTCACGTTCAATTTTTGAAGAATTTCATGGGTGGGTTTGTTTTTCCACTCTGCAGCCACGATATCCGGCTGCTGTTCCAGTTCAGGAGCATTGGGGGTGCTGCTTTGTCGTTTGACTTTTGAATGTTTGGGAAGGTTTAGCTCTTCAAAACTCTTAAATTCTGGAACTCTAGAAATTAAAAGAAAAAGTTTCAAATTTCCTGCACTTATAATGTAACCTCAGGAAACATTATAATCACCCAAAGGGACTCACTCTTCCGTGTCACTGATTCGTAGGAAGTCAAGTTGTTCTACTACAGCTCCAGAGATCAGTGTCTGAAATGTGGTGAAAACATTGACATCATTTCAGTTCATCAAGCCATACCCTTCTGATCTACATACATGCAGATGTATATGTACATGTATATGTACATGTATAAATACATAATACTTCAAAAAAGAATTTATTTAGTGAATACATAAAACTCAAGTAATTCTTTTAATTGAGGTAATATTGGCTTACTATGCTGAACATGATTCTGAGATACAGCATTCTAAATAAGATAGGTTTTCTGACTATAAATAGAATGTATTTTCCCCTGAAATAGAACATGCTCATGAAGCTACAAGTGTTTATAAGTATAGTGATTCAATGTTGTTCTTGAAAACTTCCAGAAAATGAAACTGGAAATGAACCATCAGGGGGAAAATCAGTCTGAGATGAACTATATTTTCTTCCTGTTATTGGAATTATGAACATTTACTTCGAAGTTGGAAATAAAATTCAGTACCTGTTAAAATGTATAAAAATGTTTTGAAATATAAAACAACATGCTATACTAAAGTTTTTTTTTTTGGGGGGGAAAGACAGTATGAAATTATACTGGGATTCTCCTACTACAATATATTCAGTACTGTACACTAATGGGAGACAGACTACCAAGTCTCTGGCTTTCAGGATCAAGAAGGTAATAACTATCCAGGCCTCTACATTCCTGCAACCAGTATTTGGCAATTGTACCTTCTAATAGTACCTAATCATAGGTTAAGCAAACTAAATGAAATTAAAATCTACAAGCATAGTTATTGTTTGCAGTGGTTTGTGCTGAATAATATAAATGATGACGAATGGTAACCCACAGTGATTTTTAGCAACATATGTGACTTACAATTACCTGATGAACTGTCAGCTAAACAACTGATTGCATAAAAGTCATAAATTATGATTTTAAAAGGCAATTCTTCAATCAAAACTATCTTTCATGCATAACTTCCTCTTTTTCTCACTGCACATTTCAGATACAAAGCAACAGGACACTGGGAATGTTGTTCTTTTTGGCTAAACAGCCAGAGTCGTGCTGCCTTCACTAGTGGAAACTTGTAACAACGTAGATCAGGGGCAAATAGCCAATACAACTGGCACAGGGGCTACATAACCTGACGAAGAAGGCAACCTGTGCAATCTGAGTAAAGAAAGTCAAAACTCCAACTGACACGCATATTTTTATGTGGACCAGCATTCAGAGTCTTTGCTGGGCAGAAAGCAGTATTGAGCATAATATAAGTTCACTGTGTGATACTGCCTAAGATGCAGTCTTACATCTTCATAGCTGGCGGTTTAATCAACTGGTTTGTTTGACAAATATTTATTGACACCTATCAGATATTAGGCACTATGTAGACATTAAGGATGTCATCTGAATGAAATACACCTAAATCCTTGCCCACCTGAAATTGACCTTAATGATACAGACCTTAAGGAAATAGACAAACACCAAGCAAATCATGTGTTAACTCAGACAATGAGAAGTTCAAGGTAGAAATGGGAAAGGAAGACCGTAACCTTGTCCAAGGTCTTCAGGATTTGTTCTCCTCTCTTTCCTGGCTTGAGGCCTTTCCCACAAACATACTCTGCTAGATCCTCAGCCAGCCCAAGAAGCAACCTAGCGTGATCCTGCCTTTGCATTTATTGGAGCTGGCAGTACTGGAGCAGCACTGCATGTCATGAATCTAGCTTTGTTCAATTCAGATGTTAGTTGTGACAGAATGAATAATGTAGCACCCTAGAAAAAACTGGGTCCCTGTGGTCAGTACAAGTTCTACTGAGAGAATGTAGATTCCAGCAAACTGAGAAAGTTCAGCCATTTTTCAAAGTCATTTATCCTTTGAGCTGTAGTAGCATTAGGACTCTCTCTATCGAGTAATGCCAGCATAGGCACACTGCCACTAGCCATCCACAGTCCACCACCCGAGTCCTCTGTGCTTCCTTTTCTCTCTGATCCAATGCTCCTCCAATACCCTCTTTGGCAGCTTCAAGTCCATAGTCAGCCTTCAAAGTTAGCTTTTAAATATCATCCTTCTCTGGTTCTTAGTTTGGTTCCTCCACCTTCCACACCTCAGTGACACCATCTGTATTATCTTACTCCTCACTTATTTCACTTAGCATTCTCTCTTCCAACTCCATCCATATTGCAGAAAACATGTAAGTTTATCATTTTTAAATGTTGAATATTTATTGTGCCCATGTACCACATCTTCTTGATCTACTCATCTACTTGGGAGTACTTATGTTGTTTGCATATCTTGACTATGTAATGCTGCTATGAACACAGGGGTGAAAGTTTCTTTTCAAATTGCTGTTTTTGTGTTTACTGGGTAGATACCTAGCAGTGGATCTGGTCATCTGGCAGATTGGTCTTTAGTCTTTTTATTATTATTATTATTATATTTTTTATTCTTTTTACATCATTCTTCATTTTGTGCCTTTTCCCATCTCAGTTGTAATCCCCATGGGCTTCCCACCACCAGTTCACCAGTGTACCATCACCACAGTTCAATGCACTCTTCCCATGGATCTTTAGTCTTTTTAAGAAACTTCCATACTGATTTCCATGAGGGTGGGATCAGCACACTATCCCACCAACAGTGTAAGAGGGTTCCCTTTTCACCACAGTATTACCAGCACTTGTTTCTCTTCATTTTAATGTTAACCAACTCACTGGTGTGAGATGTAGCTCACTGTGGTTTTGATTTGCATCTCCCTGAAGATAAGTGACAATGAGCATTTTTTCATGTGCACTGCTCAATCTTCCAATCCATGAGCAGGGAATGTTTTTCCATTTCTTTGTGCTTTCTACTATTTCCTTTAACAATGATTCATAGTTTTCCTCATATGGGTCTTTCACCTTCTTTGTTAGATTCATTCCTATGTATTTAAATTATTTGATGTGATTGTAAATGAAGTGGCTTTAATTTCTTTCTCTTCTAGTTCACTGCTTGCATATAGGAAGGCAATTAATTTTTGTGTATTGATTGTGTAACCTGCCACTTTGATGAACTGTTTTATTGTATTTATTAGTTTTCTTTATTTTTTTTTCCTTATGGGGACTATGGTTCTCAATGTATATTGTTAAGCCATCTGCAAATAACAGTAGTTTTACTTCTTTCCAAATTTCCTTTAATGCCTTTCTCTTGACTGAGAGCTCTAGCTAGGATATCGAATGTAATATTGAAGAGCAGGGGTGAGAGTGGACATTCTTGTCTTTGACCAGATCTTCATGGAAAGGCTTTTAGTTTTCAATAATTGAAAATGATGCTAGCTGCAGGTTTGTCATGTATGGCTTTTATTAAGTTAAGCTGTGTTCCATTTATCCCCAGTTTTTTAAGGGTTTCATTATAAATAAATGCTGAATTTTAACAAATGCTATTTCAGCATCTACTGATGTGATATGATTTTCATCTTTCTTTTTGCTGATGTGGTGAATTGTATTGACTGGCTTTTGTATGCTGCACCATCTTTGTATAAATCCCTGGTATAAATCCCACTTGGTCATGTTGTATGAGCCTTTTAGTGTTGGGTTCATTCTGCTAAGTTTTTTGTGGATTTCTGCATCTGTGTTCATTAGGAAGATGGGACTGAAGTATTTTTTTCATGTTTATTTGGTTTTGGTATTAGAATAATGTGGCAGAATGTGCTTGGGAGTACTCCTTTTTTAAATTTTGTGTAGCATAAGTGTTATCTCATCTTGAAGATTTAGTAATATTCATTCATGAAGCCATCTGGTTCTGAACTTTTGTTTTTAGGGGGAGAGTTTTGACTGTCATTTCAATTTCCTTGCTTGTGATTGGTGTCCTCAGGATTTCTATTTATTCCATATTTAGTATTGGATAGTTATATAATTCTAGGAATTTTTTCATCTCTTCTAAGTTGTTGAAAATATTAGTGTACAAATATTCATACACAGTAGCTCTAACAATCCTCTAAATTTTTGCTGTGTTGGTTGTATTTTTTCCTCTTTTGTTTTTGATCCTATTTATTTGGATTTTCTCTCTTATTTTCTTAATGAGCCTTGCTAAAGTTTTGCCTATTTTGTTTAATTTGTTTGAAGAACCAGTTTTTGGTTTTGTTGATCTTTTTAACTATCTTTTTCTATTTCATTTATTTCTGCTTACATTTTATTATCTCGATTCTGCTAACTTTTGGATTAGTTTATTGTTCTTTATCTCATTTTTAAAAGACTGATGAGAGAAGATTTATTTAAGCTGTTTCTTTTTTTTTTTTTTTAAGATTTATTTATTTGTGCATACAGAACTGGGGTACAGGCCAGAGGCTCAGGGGCGGTGAGAGGCTTCACCAGAGACAGAGTGGGGAACAGAACAGGCAGATCGACGAAGTACATTGCTGAGGGGAGCAGCGGGTGGGTCAGGAGAGGTCTGCCACACCATGTGGTCACCTCCGGGGCAGGCGGGAGTCGAACTCATGCGGAAGCGGCTTTAGATTCTCCGTGCTGCGCCACCCTGGAGGGCCTAAGCTGTTTCTTGATGTGATCTGTATTGCTATATATTTCTCTCATAGTATTGTGTTTGCTGAATACCATAAGTTTTGGAGAGTTGTGTCATTGTTATCATTTGTTTTGATGTATTTTTCAATTTCCTTCTGATTTCTTCTTTAACCCAGAGATCTTTCAATAATAAATTGTTCAATCTCCACATTTTATAGGATTTCCCTGTTTTCTTTTGATGGCTGATTTCTAGTTTGATACTTTTATGATCCCAGAAGATACTAAGTATGAATTTGATCTTTTTGAATTTGTTGATATTTGTTTTGTGACCCAAGATAGGGAATGTCCCATGTACGTTAGAAAAGAATATGTATTCAGCTCTTGGGGGGGAGCAGTGCCCTGGAGCTGTTTACTAGGCCCTTGTGTTCGAATTCTTATTTAATGCTACTCTATCCCTGTTTGCTGTTGAGTTGATCTGTCCATTAGTGAAAGTCGGGTATGAGGTCCCCAATACATAGGTTTTTTCCTATATCTGTCTTTTGAGTTAATAGCAGC